GCTTTATTATGGATGTGTGATAAAAAGCATAGATGGTTTGCTACTTTTGATAACGTTAAACGTTCAAACTCGTGGTGCCCATTCTGCCCAAAATATAAGAGAGAAAAGCTGTGTCATGAGATTTTAACAAAGTATCTTGGTGTCCCTTCACCAATCCGTAGACCCGATTTCTTAAAGACACAAGAATATCCAAATGGACTAGAACTTGATATATTTTATCCGCAATATGGCTTCGCAATCGAAGTACAAGGCATACAACACGAAAAATATCACGAATTCTTTCATGGAAGAGATCCCAATAATTTTTTCAAACAGCAAGCACGGGATCAACACAAGAAAGAATTATGCGAAGAAAATTGGATCGTTTTAAGGTATGTTTGGTACTATGAAGACCCATATGTAGTTATTCCAGAACATCTGCGAGAATTGGGTCTCATAGGATAAACCCAAAACTTTAATTACGTTTGTGAAATTTTAAATGTGCTTAAAACCAGAGTGGAAAATCACATAAACTGTACGACTCTGGGTCTCACACTTTCACAGAAATGATAGAAAAAAATGCTTTAGCAATTAAAAAATAAACCCAAACAGAATCGACCAACATAATACGCAAGAAAATTTGTTAAAACAGAAGCTACAATATCGTATGAAGTAGTCCTAATAAATGCCGAATGATTTTGTGATTGCAGATTGAACAAAGAAGAAGTCCAATAGAATAGGATCAGGAAGATTTTGAGGGATTTGTATATTAGGCTTCAAGTCATGGTAAAGACATCTTAATGATACGTTAATGATGCATTGACCTTGCACAATATTTAATTGAGCTCCTGTGCCATCCTGTTTACCGAATTCAAACTAATAATCATAATATATACATTAGAGATTTTTAATATATTAACAGAAAAGCGAATCACTACAGTCTAACATTACCTCGGTTACAAGATGAGGTGTATTTCTCGTTCCTCTACCTGAGACACAGTAATGCCAAGCCTACAATGAATTAAAATCTTAGAATGGTATGCAAATAATATGATGCTAGTCATGTTACACTGTATAAATATAACTTACTCTCATACGGGTAGGTACTTGACCTTGGGGAACCGGATCGATTTTTACAATAATACAATCATGGGCGCGACCAGGACTTAACCAGTAGCGCAACGTTTCTTCGACGTGATCTAGTGTCTCAGTGTAGGCTACTTCCACGACCAAATTTGGCCAAGGTTCTTCCTAAATAAAAAAGGTATATGAAATTACTAGCTTCAAAAAGTTCAAACCCAACAAAAAGTATAGAAATTACATTTCTGTCGCTCCCATTTGGCGCAGTTACATCTGGCTTTATTGGACGAAATGATGCGTCGGCTTCTTTTCCACGGTTTCTGTCGCGTGTTCCTTTAAGAAATAAAAATTAATACTATGCACACAAACAGAGCAATACGTTATAATATTAATACTTACGAGTAGAACCAACACTAAGGATTTCTGCATTTGTTTCGTCAGCATTACCGCAACTTTTAATTATCATTTTACTGATTTTTCCGATACAAACCTCATGTGGTTTAGAAGGAAATTCATAGATTATGACTTCTCCATTTGACCATTCCCAACATCTATGAATGGAAAACCTTTCTGTACGTTGTTCATATTCCTCAATGTCGATCCCTTTAGCAAGCACATAAGGTAATCTTATATATATGAATAACAATTTATATCAGCCACCAGCTAAAACAAATATCAACGTTAAACAAGTAGGAAAAGAGACTTACGTTACTTCTTCCCACTTTGCCTTTTCGCTAAGTTCTCCCTTGTCCCACCAAAGGTTTCGATAAAAGGTATAATCTGGCATTCGTTCATCACTACTAAAAATATCCCCGGAAAATTAGTGAAGAAATAAGGAGTAACAGTTGCACATATCTACTTACGCAGTAGTGGTAGAGCTTGCAATCAAATCGATATACAATATGTCGCATGGCAGAAATCGACCATGACAATCAAATAAATATATAATATATTGCATATGGCCTAATGACGGAAATCAACCACAATCGTCAAAATAGATAACCACAAATAAATAAAGAACAATCTACTCATAAGTAGGGAACAATCTAATCATAAGTAGGGAACAATCTAACATAAGTAGGGAACAATCTAACGTAAGTAGGAACAATATATATATATTGTTCCTACTTCTTATTTCAAACTGAATAAGTTTTTCTTTAAAATATAAGCTTTATTACAAAACTATTTTCTCTAATTCAAAAAATTTCAAATTGAAAAGTCAGATCAATATAACTTAATATTGAAAATTGTATAAAGAAATTGTAACAGATAGCAATAAACATATACTTGATTTTAAATAAGCTTTTTTTCAAGCATTTATTTATATATAAAGTTAATAAATATATATAGAAATTGTTCAAGGTAATAATTCATTAACAATATTAATATATAAAAAATCTTATATAACTTTCTAAAATTTCTTAATCAAAGTATTATATTTTAAAAGCTACTTTAATCTAATAACTAATTTTCAATTAACTTCAATTCAAGAAGAATAATAAAAAACTGTTTTTTTGTTTTATTCAAACTTCTAAAAGTTTATCAAAAATTATAATCAGTTTGTTTTTTTCAAAAAATTGAATAAATTAATTATGCTTATAATTTATTTATCAAATCTATTTTTTTATTATATTTTTCATTTATATTAAAAAGTATATATATAAGTTATAATATATATAAATAGCTAGCTATTATATTTTTATTCTTATTTTCTCTTATAAAATTTTTTTAAGTTTGTATATATCAATTTTATTTTATATTTTATTTTATAAAAATGTTTAATATAATTTATATATTATAAAAAAACTCTTTCTTACAACTAAAGATATGTTCTTAAATTAAAGACAAGAATATAATTAAAATGTTTCTTACTATTAAAAAAGTTTTTTTAAAAATATAAAATCAAAAAAAACTATTTACAAAGATTTTTTGCAATTTAAGCCATTTGATCCAAATGTTTTTTGAATTATGTTTCTATTAAAATAATAAATAATTAATTATGTCCCTTCAAAAAGAACATAATTGATTTGTAAAATTTTATATACTAAATAATTTAAGAACCTATCTTTACCCACAATACTTCAATTCATAAAAAATTTTTTTTTGGATAATATGCCAAGAACTATAGATTGGTAAATTGTTTTGATTTCCAAGAACATATTTTTTTGTTAAGGAAAGAATAGCTCTTGGCCAAAATTGCAAGATATAAAGATTTCAATTGAAAAAGTAATTCTTATAGTAAGGAGTGAAATGCTTTTTGTAAGGTGAAATATTTTTGTTAAATTTGCTTTATCAAAATAAAACCTAGTAAGCTTCTTCTAAGGAAATTCTTTTATCTATTTCTATATACTTCTCCTATACAAATATTACTTCACAATATATACAACAACACAACAACTACTTTTAAAAAGACCGTATTTTATTTTTTCAGAATTTTTGTTTTTTATTCAGTCTTTATAATTTCCACTCAACCTTATACAAATCAAAAATCTCTTTTAAATTTCATACAAAAAATTTATCATTCAAAAAATTGCAATCAGTTTATTCTCATCAAAAGATCTACAATATACAAAACATCAATCAAATCTTATATCACTTAGTTATATTAAAACAACATAATAATCTATTGAATTGGAAGAGTATATAATCAGTGCTCTGTATAGGTTTCCAGTATTTTCTTAACAACTATCAAAACAACACAACAAACAACTAGAATGAATTCCAGTTATCCAACTTATTAATATCCAAATATAATCAAATCACTTAATAACTATTATAAAAAATTCATATAATCAAATTCAATAAGTTACATATGGCTAAAGATAGGTTCCTAAAGTATTTAGTATATAAAATTTACATCACTTTATATCCACATCCCCTAGAGAACATAATTTCTAGCTCTTTATTTCAATAGGGACATAATTCCAGAAATGATTTGTATAGATGCTTAAAACTATAAAGA